ATACTCAAATATCAGATTACTTAGATCCATGAATAATATCCGAATTTTTTTTCTTAAAATTAAACTTCAAAACTTCTTGCAATCTTATTCTTCATCAATTGTAAATTTTTAAAACCATTTTTTAAAAATAATTTTGCGTAAATTTTATTCTCATGTTGTTTTAATCGAAAATTGATACATTTTCAAAAAAAATAATATTGACTTATGAAATTCATTTTTAAGGTGAAATAGTATTATTTTTATTAAAGTATATGAATAATATATAAAAAATTAATGAATAATATAAGCAGATTTTTAGTTTACAAAACAAATATGAGCAATGCAATTTCAAACTTTTGCTGGCAATTCGATATTGCTCAAGTTTGTAGTATTTGTGATACCTATAACATCGGCTTAATCAAAATTCGATTTTTCTTATGAGTTATTGAGAAAATTTGATTGCAATGAGAAGGATTTCGACGTTTTTGATAAACTAAGAGCTGAGCTTTAGGGGTTCAGTTCATTTATGGCTGTGGTTTGATGCGTAGATCTCTTTTTTATTGTAAATTCTTTCAGCATGGAGATCGAGAATGAATCTTTTGAGAACTTTATGAGTTTTTACACCCGTAAAGAGGTCCTTCGAGGAAAGATAGTCCAGACTACATGAAGATGTGGGTTAACCAAAAAAAATCCGATGGTTTCCCCATATTCATGTAGATCTTCGAAAAAATGAGCACCAAAAAAGCCAAAAAAATAGGCTTTTTATTGGATTTGTACACTAGATCAATAATCTATTTAGGATCTGACACTCTTTTTAGCCAGAGATATGAGGTCCTTTCTAGGAAAACGATCTATTCATCCATAAAAAAAATGAATTATCGTTTTCCCCAGAAATTACATGGGGAGTGGTAAAAGTAAGGAAAATCTGGGTAAAACATTTATTCCAAAAAGATTAAGTAATAGGTGGGATCCTGCATATAATATAATTTTATGTCATAAAGCTTACAAATTTTAGATGGACCACAGTGAGAATGTGAGTGGTTAATTTAAAGGTGGTCTGATAAAGATATCGAAGCTTACTCAACACAGCATGAAGCAGTTTCTAATACACAATATTACTAGTGGTGTTTCGGTCGCCAGCGCTCTCATAGGGGTGCTGATTTCAAAAACCACTACTTCAAATTATTCAACAATACTCAATGCAGCATGAAGCAGCTACTACTGCTGTATCTTACTGGTAGTGTTTTGGTCGTTGGCTCTTGCACAGTCTCTCAGATTTTCAAAATTTTTTTTTCAACACTATCTTGTTTCGCTCTCAGAAAGCTATCCTACAAAGACATCGAAGCTTACTCAACACAGCATGAAGCAGTTTCTAATAAATATATACATATATAAATATATACATATATAAATATATACATATATAAATATATACATATATAATATATACATATATAAATATATACATATATAAATATATACATATATAAATATATACATATATAAATATATAAATATATAAATATATACATATATAAATATATACATATATAAATATATACATATATAAATATATACATATATAATATATACATATATAAATATATACATATATAAATATATACATATATAAATATATACATATATAAATATATACATATATAAATATATACATATATAAATATATACATATATAAATATATACATATATAAATATATACATATATAAATATATACATATATAAATATATACATATATAAATATATACATATATAAATATATACATATATAAATATATACATATATAAATATATACATATATAAATATATACATATATAAATATATACATATATAAATATATACATATATAAATATATACATATATAAATATATACATATATAAATATATACATATATAAATATATACATATATAAATATATATATAAATATATACATATATAAATATATACATATATAAATATATACATATATAAATATATACATATATAAATATATACATATATAAATATATACATATATAAATATATACATATATAAATATATAAATATATACATATATAAATATATACATATATAAATATATACATATATAAATATATACATATATAAATATACATATATAAATATACATATATATATAAATATATAAATAACAAAATACAATCAAAAAATAGTGTTTGGAAATTTAAGGTTAAGTGTCACTTTTCTACTGTCACTTTTTCGTAAATTCTACCACACTCCCCAAGAGGAGGACCGAACCCCAGCCGACCAGCCGGTGACAAAACCAAAACCGTTGTTATTTACATCATATTAATAGTGTCACTTTTTGTGTCGCTTTTCACAAATTATATATGTTTTCATGTTTTGTCACTTTTCTGTCACTTTTCGGGTAAAAACATTTTTATTATTATATATAAATGAATTTTACAAAACCTCCGTTACCGTTCTTTGGAAATAAAAGTAGATGTAAAGATATTATATTGAGAGAACTTAAGAAACTACCGAATGGTCTAACATTTGTAGATTTGTTCGGTGGAAGTTTCTATATATCCCATTTATGTCATACCATATTTCCTGACTCAAAGATTATATGCAATGACTTCGACAACTATATGGACCGTCTCAAACATATACCAGACACAAACAATATATTGAAAGAGTTAAAAGAAAAGATACCTATAGGTAAGATGGAACGTATACCATTAGATAAGAAAGATATTGTGAGAGAGGTTTTGAAAAAAGCAGAATATATAGACTGGGATAGTATATCTGCTAGACTATTATATAGTGGTTCTATAAGAGTTCATGACATTGAAACACTTATGTCAAAAGTTTTATATCTTAACTATACAAATGTTTTCAAAGAGGACATAGAAAAATATATTGAGGGTATAGAGTTTGTGAGATGTTATTGGACAGAGTTGTATGAAAAATATAAAGACAAGGAAAATGTTTTCTTTATAATGGACCCGCCGTTCTATAACACATGGATTTCAATACCAAGTAGACTGGACTTTGAGAGACTCTTTAGAAACTTTAGATTATACATAACCATCCATGCTTTTACTTTACATCCGATAAAAGTGGTTTGGAAACCGTTATGAGATGGTAGAGGACATACATGACTATGAGTTTTATATATGACAAGATAGAATATGAGAGAGGTCCTATAAACTGGAGAAAGTGTCATAACAAAAAATTTTATTAGTAAGTAAATGTGGTTTGAAATAAGGACTACTTGTTTTAGGTTTTTTCCATTGTGTCATTTATTTATTTGACGTGGCAGAAAAGTACAGAGAATATGAAGATGAACCAATGCCTGCAAATGTTCAGTATATGTACTCGTAAGAGATATTTTTATCTAATATTAAATGGACGCACAGAACTTAGCGAATGCACAACAAACCTGGACAACCAAACCCAGAATATTCCAAATGAAGTTAGAATACAAACTGCAATGGCAAACTATGGTCAAGTGCCAACAGATGTACAAATGCAAACTGCCATGTCAAATGACGCTGCGTTAGGTTTGCCACCATGGTATGCAAATATGAGATGGAAAGAGTTTTATACAAACCCTGAAGTGGATATAAACAACTTATGCAGATGACGCGAACACAGGAGTTGACCCAGAATATGTTTTCTACCAGAGGAGAAACAGAATGTATGAGCTCCAGTTAAAGAATGCTATGGAACTCAACAGGAAATGTAAGAGACTAGGTGGACATTAGATTTTTACTACTAGTAAAATGGTTTCTTTGGAAGAATAGGAAACTTCTTTCGAAATGTTGAAGAGGTATATGGAATGAATAAAATCTGTCGGAAGAGAATTTGGAACGGTGTCAAAAATATTGTAAAAGAGTAGTCAGTTCGTTGGTATTATACCTAAAGACCCTGAACCAGAAGAGCAAGCTCCTGTAATACAACAGCCTGAACCTGCACCACAGTCTAGTTGGCAACCAAATCCAACACCTCAACCGTATTAAAAATTATATTTTTACCGTTCGATAGTAGTTGTATATGAAACTAAGTTCTAAGTAAAACGCATGGTATAATAAATTATTCTTTTCTTCCATCTGTAGTAAACCATACTTGAAAGTCTGAAATACTTCCACTTGGTGGTTCGTATAACTTTGTAGGTTTTTCGTAAAAGTCATTTGCCAAGCATAAGAAAGAGTTTTGGGCGCCAGAAAATGAAGCATGAACAATAATAGCATCTTGGTCGAAAACATCTTTAAAAAATATGGTTCATCTCTTGCATATCGACTGTAAATATTTGCTAAAGGAAGTTCGACTTTCTGATTTAACATTCTTTGCAAATAATACCATGACATTGCAGTGAATTCTGTATATATTTGTTCGTCTTTATTTGGATTGTTTTCGTAGATTTGAAATGACACTTGTGAATTTTGTTTGTCATATACAATTCTCACATAAAGTGTGCTCTCGGTATTCGCATATTCATCAGCATATTTTGCATAACATGAATTTATTTTATCTTCTATATTTTTAACGCAGTCTGTAGAGAAGATGAAAGGTCAACTTGTATTAGCTCAATTTTTCCCACATTTTTCGTTTCCCTTCAATGTATAATCTATATGAAACCTTACAATAAATGGAAAACTTTTATCTTTTACAGACACAAATTTTATTCTTCGAAAGCCAATAGCTTTTGTGACAGATGGTCTCTTAACCATCTTAATGGGTAGTCAAAACGATAGCCTTCATGCTTTATAGTATCTAAGTCAAACTTTTGACCGACATTAGTAAAAAGTTCATCTAATGGTTTAGTTGTAGCAACTCTTGAATTTTCTTTTTCTATTGGAAGCATATTTATCTATAATAAAAATGTCAAATGAAACAGCGTCTATGAGAGAAATACAACACAACCGACACTCATTATGCAAGCTCTAAATATGAACACAACAAACTTTTCAAACTATGCTAAAATATCTGAGTCATTGAAAAAGAAAAACCTAAAATTGACAATAAACCCTATGACAGATGAGTTTCTATTTCAAGACAATAAGAACCATACTGTCTGTATAAATCCAACAAAAGGAACTTTAAACGAGAAACCTATAAATGAACTTCTTTTGAAAGCAGATGTTGAAAATAAAGCTGACAAAGAATATGTCATTGAAAAAGTTCAAGAAGAACATGACAGAGCAGATGCAACATATGCAACAAAAGAGGATGTTGAAAATAAAGCTGACAAAGAAACTGTAGATATGTTGGCACAAACGGTTTCAAGTCATGACAGAGCTTTAATGGAAGATGGACAACAGTTGAAAGAGCTTGAGAAAGGTGTTACAGAGTTAAGGAATACAAAAGCAGACTCGACATGGATAGCTGGATATGTAGATGCAACAAAAGAATATATTTTCGCATGGACAGAAGGAACATATCCACAAAAACATCATACACATTCTATATCTGATATTACAAACTTACAAGAAACCTTAAACAGGAAAAGTGCCGTTGGACATACACATACATCTTCTGAAATAACAGACTTACAAGAAACATTAGAGACAAAAGCAGATAAAACATATGTCAATAAAATATACCAAAGTTTGATAGGAACAAAAAATATTGAAACTATTGTTGGTGACTTTTCTTTCAATGAAGAAAATAAATATTTTAGATGGCAGTTTGTACATTCCTTAAAAAATGGTACACGGCATAAACTCATTCCGAAAAATAACAATGAAATGTATGTAAGCTATATAAAGAATGATGGTACACAAGTTAAAGTTCCATTAGACAACAACTGCTACTTAAACTTATATGGAGATGAACAAAATAAATATTTCCGAGTTTATGAAATGGTGGATATGATATTACCTGACCCATCTCCAGCACCATATTATTATGACTATGGTGCTGACGACAAAACACCACATGTAGACCCAAAAAAGCAAACATTATATTTAGATTATTATAGATATAAAAGATATAATGCAATAGACAAAACAAGAATAGTATATTATTATGAAGATGACAGAAATAAATATTATAGTCAAGACTTTACCTACCCTGAAAACATAAGATTATATTATAAAAAATATTCTGACACAAACCAGAAGAAACCTGAAATAGTTGCACTATATTTTAAGTTCAAAAGAGACAATCCTATAATATCTCATATGTTTGATTTAATGAACCCAGTAGGTTCTATTTATACATCTATGGATGCAAGAGGTCCTCAAGTAATGTTTGGTGTTGGTGCATGGGAACAAATAGTCGACAGGTTTTTGTATTGTGCAAACTCTTCAAAGGAAACAGGTGGAAGTAAAACGATTTCAGGTGAAAATTTACCTGCACACAGTCATTACATAGATTTAAGTACATCTCAAGCAGGTTGGCATAGGCATAGATATTGGGGTTGGACAGGAATGACAAAAGGTAAAGGATATGATGTTAAAGACGACGTTAAGTTTGCTATAAATTGTTACTGGGATGACACTTGGGGAGAAGGAGACCATACACATCACGTTTCAGGATATACGCAAACAACGGGACAAAGTAAAGACTACATGCCACCTTACATGACAGTTTACGCATGGTATATAATTGCTTAGTCGTCATTTTCAACTTCTTTAGCATATTCGTCAGGAGTTGTCTTATATTTGTTAGGAACTGTCTTTGAAAGTATACCACCTTGAACTTTGACAAGTTTGAAACGAGGTCTGACAATAGTAGTTTTATCTTCTGCTTGCAGTGTGTACATTTTGCCATGTTTGCCTAAAACTTCATAATATTCTCTTGTATACTTTCTTCTATTTTTACGAACACGAATGTGAGTACCTGTCGGGTTCCCATTGTTGTCATAGTCAATAGTATTTTCATATGGGTCGCGTTTAGGTATTTCTATTTTTACTTTGTCACCTTTCTGAAGTTTGAAGCCCGGCATTCTTTCTTGTTTGTCTCTTTTGACTAAATTATTAAATATATAGTCTTTCTCTAAGTCAGGGTTGTTTTTCATTTCTTCGGGGGAGTGGTTTCCCAAACCTTTTTGTTTACGGTTATTGTAAATATTTAAAACTTGTCTCATCTTTGCCATGGAGAAGTGTCTATACTTGTCGTCATATGACATTTCATTTGCTTCACCACCTTGTGGTTGGTTTAAGTCTCTTAACATTTTTATACAACCGTCAATGACACCAAGAGCAGAATGGTTTTGGTCGACAATGAAATATTGGTTTACATTTTTTGAACGCAGATAGTTTTTTACATCATCTGATTTGAAAGAACTTTCACAGTCAGATGTCAGTTTTGTTGGATGGTATTTGTCAACGAATATTGTCAAAGCAGTTTTCACATCTAAAATATTTTTGGACCATAATGGTATGGCTTCACAGTATCTTGTGTTTTGACCAACAAATATTAGCCAGTATGGTGGTCCATCTTCTCTATACCTCGGAATGTTTTCCAAGATATCCATAAACCAAGCATTTGGTGTTGAACTAAAGATTTTTATCATGAGTGCTTTCTTTGTTGCCTTAGAAACATACGGGTCCTTGTTTGGATTCGTCATTTTTTACCCTATAAGAAATGGGTTTATTTGGCGCATTAGCAGGAGTCGCATCTAGATTTTTACCCGCAGTGGGAACAATAGCCAGAGGTGCATTTGGAGTTGGAAGGAAGATTTTGAGTACATTAGGTATACTTAAAGAGAAAGCACAACCTATTATACAAACTGTACAGAAAGGTTGGGATGTAGCACGAGATGCAACAAATCTTATTCCAAATCCTGAAACAAGAGGAAAAGTTCAAGGATGGATGGACAATGTAGGAAGACAAGCAGGAAACTATTATAACAAAGCAAATGACTACTATAACCAAGCAGGACACTATATGGACCAAGGTGAAAGATTCTTTAACAGAGGATATAACCATGCACAACAATGGGTAAACAATAACCAACCTCAACCGCCTCAAACGTGGGGAATGTAAAGTTTTTTATTGAGATGAAATGAACAATGCAGCATTGAGACAAATAAGTTCAAGATGGATTTGTCGGCTTTCAGCATTTAAACCACGTGTTTGTAAAGTTCTTCCTATACCTCAGGAAGTTTTAGACCGACTTCAAAAACCTCAACAACCAGTTGAAAACAAACCAAACTAAAATTTTTTACTGAGATGAAATGACTGAAGAAGTTGAAACGGTAGATTTGACACCACAAACAAAAAGTTCAGAACCATTGTCAAAACCTGTCAAAGAACTTACAGATGAAGAGAAAAATTCAATAATAGAAAGTGCCAGGTCTGGAAATACAAACTCTAACTATAAAGTCACTTTTCATAGAAATGGAACGGCTAGTATCTCAAAAAAGAAACAGACTCTCACAAATAAAATATTGAAGTCTGAAGGAGCTTTCGAGACAACAGATGGAAAAGTTTACTTCACTGACCAACAGTTCATTATAGAACATCTCATTGACTTAGAGTCGAAATATTCTAAACTTTACAACAAACACAAAAAGTTGAAAGGAAAACAAAAACAAATGGCATATGATATTTATGAAGATGTTGACGACACAACTGTTCCTGCAAGTGAAGTAAAGTCAGAGGAACCGAAAAGTGACGAAAAACCGATAGAAGAAGAGAAACCAAAAACTGAAGATAAACCAAAACCAAAGTTTAGTTTCCAAACTAAACCAAGTCAACCTTCATTAGCTGGTATGGGTTGGCGTCAAAGACTTATGGCAGCAGGCGGTTATGTAAAGTAAAGAAAAAAAATATTTTTTTTATTTTTATAAAAATGCCCCCATATAGAATGGACAGAAAGTCTGCTAGAATAAAAGCAGAGTTACAAAGATATGGTTGGAGAGTTTCGAAGAATTTTAAATATAGGAAGGGAAGACCCATAAAAGTCTATGACAAACTGGCTGGTCTTCGCTACGAAATGGATTTGGAAACAGCACGTGCCAATTATCCAAACAGACTAGAGAGGTTAGAAGAAGAACGTCTTATGGACATGCCTTTCGATGTTAGTGAACCTCAAGTTGAAGGACACGACGGCTTTGCCAGATTCTACTGGAAACATGACGAACAATTGCATCCTTTGAGAAGGAAAAAAGGAAAAGGTGAAGACGCACATGCTCCCATGGAAAGAACAAGATATTCATATGAAAAGTATCGTGAAGTTAGAAGTCAAATTACGTCTGGTCGAACCTTTACAGTAAACTTTGACGAAGGAAAGAACAAAGAAGGCTTCATGGGTGTACTTGCTGCAATTCAAGACGGAAATAAGAAAGGACACAATCTCAGATTGACCATAACAGATTTGGATGGTCACATTTACTATGCACATGGCAATGAACAAACAGCCGCAAAACTTCTTGACGCTTTCAAGACTACAAAGAGAGTACAAATGGTTGACTCCGACTCAGACATTTTGAATGCAATTGAAGGAATTGCAAGTGTCAAGTTCGAATGGTACCAACCTAACCCTCAAGCAGTCAGACAACATGCTGGATACTTCCCCTTCATAAATAAGTCTGACATTGACTTGACAAGGTATGGAATTTACAATTCAATTGAAACAATTGTCAACGAACCTTGCATTCTTACATGTCTCAGGAACTCTGGTCTTGTTACAGATGAGAAGATGAAGTATCTTGAGTCATGTGTGAAGACAAGGTACATTATCAGAGGTCAATTGGCAAAAATTGCACCGTTGGCAAATGTCAATATCCGAGTCAACATACCTACAGCTAAAGGTTCTTCACATGACGACTATGTTGTTGACAAAGACTTACCATGGTTGAAGATTGTAATTGTCCACAACCACTTCATGTTGAACGAAAGTCTTACAAACCCATTGTTCGGAAAAGGCAAGTGCAACATTGTCAGAGCTGTAAATATTCTTTTCGAGAAAGGTTTGTTGGAACCAATTCCAGATGACAAGCTGACAGAAACTTTTGTACCAAAAGATGAAACAAACTTTTCATTGTTAGCAAGACCAAAAGTTGTTCCAGACAAAGTTCTAGTACAAAAGAAGTACACAGTTCCACAAGGAGTTGGATTGTTCGGATACCAACCTGAACCAGAAGAACTTCCAATGAGGTTGCAAGAACATCAAGATGCTATAAACAAACTTCCATTGAGACATCCAATTGACGTCAAATTGTATTGGAGAGCATCTGAGTTAGGTCAGAAGGTTTTATATGAAACAGGTTGCTTCGATGATGTTTATGAGATAACAGGAGAAGTTTCTCAGAAGATAAGAGACTCACTTGAATTTCCACAAACTGGACCAATTGGTTGCGACAAGTTCGACTCAGATGAAAAGATATACTATGTCGACCTTAACGCTGCATACATGAGGTTTGTCCAATATATTCCGACTGGAATTCCAAACGAAGATGGTGAGTTCCCGGGAAGGAACTATACAGTTGGAAAAGTCATACAACAACTGTATGATATTAGGAAAGCTTCAAACCCCAAACTTGCAATGACACTCAAATTGCTTATGAATTCGACATGGGGATATTCCATTAAGAAACCTCAAGAGATGAAGAGTAAACATTATGAGAAGGTCGACAACTTTGTTGAAAGGTTTTCTCCTTTTGTTTTGAAGTACGAATTCACTCAAGGTCAAAGTGGCTTAGTAACCACATTAAAACCTATTGTCGAACATTGGTCTTACCCTCAGTTCGCAAAAGCAGTCCTTGACGAGTACAACAAATTCTTCTCCGAAGTCAAATCCAAAGTCAAGGTTTACTATGAGAACATTGACGCACTCATGACGAACGAAGAAGGATACAACAAACTCATTGAAATGGGTATGGTCAGTGAAAAGATGGGCTGTTTTAAGCTAGATAAGGTATTTTCCGAAGTTCATGTAATATCGAAAAGGAAATATTGGGGCATACTTGAAGACGGCACAGAAATAAAACATTGCATAAAATAAAAACGTTTTTTAAAACAATATATTTTTACATATATTAAATGCTTCAGGTTGAAAAACAAAGAACAAAAGTAGCAGATACAAAACCGTTAGACTATATCTTTACAAATACTGGTAGGACTATTTCAGATGAAGAAATTTCATCCCGAGTATACAGGTTTGACTATTCAATTCGTTGGCTTCAAAGTCCTTCAGATGCAAAGGCAATAGGATTTAGAAGAGTTTTGTTTTCAAATAGAACTAACGCATTTATGTTCGCAGTATATTTTCATGGGCAGTATAAAGGTCCTGATGGTATAATAGACAAATTTGACGAAATGAGAATCTTTACAGTTCGTTCAGACGAAAGTCTTGAGAAAACTCTAAATGACTTTCAAACTCAAATGAACAAATATTATTGGGAATTTCAAGAAAAATACGACTCTTTACTAAATGGAACATACTATCTGAAACTAGAATATGACAAGATGAACTCCACCGTTTCATTTCAAAAGATTGAAATTAACCCTCCAAGAAATACAGAGTTTTTATTTTGGGAAGTAGACAAACGTTCTTGGGCACAATTTCTTCGGTTACTAAACCAGAACGAACCATTACCACCAGATGGTCCATTTAAATTTATACTTCCACCAGCAGATTTGATGGTTTATAGAAACGTGTTTGACCCTCAAAATGTTATGTGTCATGCAAGTTTCAGTTCAAGCAACAATAGTTTTCTATGTATTGGTAAGGACTTTTATGACTTTGCTTCTAAATTCTACGAACCACCTAGTAACAGTTTCTCTGACTTTCAAGTTTGGTTCACAACAAATGGTGTGCAACATATTATTCCATTGTACTGTGACTTTTATCTCGAATTGTCTTTCATATATAACTACGGAAAAGTGCTGAAAAAGTATTGAAAAATAAAGTTTATGTTAGCATGTTAGATCTAACACGTTTTCTAACCACTTTTCTAACATCGTAGAAAACTCATGAAAACAATTTATTTTTGACACTTTCACAAAAAAATAAAAAAAGTGAGTTAAAATGAGATGTTTACTGAACTGGCTGAATGTCGCCTTCACAGGTTCTGTAGAACGGCTGACCAGAGAAGTGGAACAGTGCTCTGAGAATTTGTATAATTCGTGGAATTGGACTCTCTCTGTTTGGAAGTTGTATCCATGGGTGCTTTGCAAAGAACTTGAGAAGAGATTCTTTCTTCATCTCCTTTATGTCGTCTACAGAAGTGTTTTCTGGTATTTGCAGGACAATTCCAGTCGAAGTTTCGAGATTCAAAGCAGCCCTTCCAGACAACCAGAAGCCGAGGGACTTGTTGGCTTTGTCCTTGCCCAAGTACTGCTTAACAACTTCATTTATCTCTATAAGGTAAATTGCCTCATCTAATGGCTCGATGTTGTCCATTGTACTTTTTCAGAACAATACTTGTACTGTTTCAGAACAATACTTGTACTGTTTCAGAACAATTCTTGAACTTTTTCAGAACAAATTTCCCGTAAAAGCTCTCAATTTGTGAGAAAAATTTTCTGTTTCAGAACAATACTTGTACTGTTTCAGAACAATACTTGTACTGTTTCAGAACAAACTTGTACTGTTTCAGAACAATACTTGTACTGTTTCAGAACAATACTTGTACTGTTTCAGAACAATACTTGTACTGTTTCAGAACAATACTTGTACTGTTTCAGAACAATACTTGTACTGTTTCAGAACAATACTTGTACTGTTTCAGAACAATACTTGTACTGTTTCAGAACAATACTTGTACTGTTTCAGAACAATTCTTGAACTTTTTCAGAACAAATTTCCCGTAAAAGCTCTCAATTTGTGAGAAAAATTTTCTGTTTCAGAACAATACTTGTACTGTTTCAGAACAATACTTGTACTGTTTCAGAACAATACTTGTACTGTTTCAGAACAATGTCCGACGTACCACTGAGCTATGAGCCGCTTGCATATTTTTAAGTAAAATATAGTATATTTGTCATACAGTGAAGGATGACCAAACTTAAAAAAAATAAAGTTTATGTTAGCATGTTAGATCTAACATTTTACCCTAAATTTTATTTTTTGCCGAATTCAGCACAAAATTCTGAGTAAAATGGCATATGACATGTGTCAAACCGTTGAGTTTTCACAAAATTCATGAAATTTGGTCATTTTTCAGCAAAAATAATTTTTAGGTGAAGAGGTGAGATTTCACCTCTTTTTTCACCTAATTTTTCACCCTAGCCGCTTTGCGGCTCTGATTGCTTTAGCTTTCTCGTGAATTTTCATGAATTTCCTTAAGATAGAAAAAAATAAAGTTAGTTTTTTATAAAATATTTTTTTATTTTGTATAAAAGATATGATTTCAACAATCGGCACAACAACAATTCAAACAACAACTTCACCAAACTCTTTAGTTATGAATCCTACGTCAATGTTGGTAGAGATGAAAAGCTTTATTCCTTCTTCATATACTTTTGAAACAGAAATCCAGAAGATAAAGCAAGAACTTTTAACAAGTAATTTAGACTGTAGTGCGAAAGATGAAACAAATGAACAGTATCTTTATGAAATGGAGGACCTCATCGACCATTTGCCTAAACTACCTGAAATCCAACAACAAAAGCTCACTATTCCTGAATTCGATGAAATAGAAGTCAAACCAACTGACTCAGTAGAAATAAAGAAGTTCATACGTAAAGTAAATTATGAGTTTCTTGGATTTCATTGCAACCATAAGGTTATGGACAAAGATTGCGATATGGTATATAAGAATGTTTCTGACATATATAAATCTGAAGAATTTAAGACCTACGACAACTTTGTTTCGTTAGTTGCTGAATGTGTATGGCAGATAAGAGATAAAGATAAAAGAGGCAAAGTATGGAACGAACAAATAAGACCCGCTATGTTTGAGATGAAGAGAGCAATTGACGCTTTAGTTGTTTTAGCAGGTCAAATTTCAATGTATAACGCAAAAACGATGCCGCAATGTTCAAAATGTAAGGCAGCAATAAGAAAATATAACTACTCAGTCAAAGAGATAGAAAGAATGCGAAACGACTATGCAGACTTAAAGAAAGAAGCAGAAAAGTCAGCAGAAGATAAAATGGACATGTTAGCATTTCTTAATAAAAACTATCCAACAGCAGAAGATTTCCTTCTGTCTGACGTCAAGAAGAAATATAAAGAGACTTTCGGCATTGTTAAAACTTTTGATATCCTCAGCGAAGAAATAGAAGCTACAAAACTGTTTAGGATTTCAAATATACATCGTACAATTCATGTAAAACGCTTGTGAAAAAAGAGGTGAAAAATTAGGTGAAAAAAGAGGTGAAATTTCACCTCTTCACCTAAAAATTATTTTTACTGAAAAACGACCAAATTTCATGAATTTTCATAAAAGATAAAAATAAAGTTAGTTTTTTATAAAATATTTTTTTTATCCGGAATATAAAGACAGATATGTCAACAACAGAGAACACAACAACAGTTATAGTCCATGAAGCTATAAATGAAGAATATGAATGGATACAATATAACAAACAATTGCGTCTAATTCGTTCGGTCAAAGACGATATGTACCAAATGCAAAGTATAATGAACGCTCTTCGTTCTACAAAGCAAGCATATCATTGGTTTGAAAACCAACAGACAAAAGAACTTTTAGAAGAATTTCCTCATATGATTGTTTCCCTCAGAAAACCGAGAGAAGAGATTCCGTACGAAAATCGTAAGAATTTGGCACCTGGTTTGAAAGGATATTATGTTCATAGACTTTTAGTAAATGCCGTAGCAATGTGGGCTTCACCTCGTTATGCTTGTTATATTTTCATGATGTTAGATGAACTATATAAAGCAGAACGTGAAGAGATGGAAAAGAAACTTCAAGCAAAAGATGAAGTCATTGAAGCAAAAGACAAAAGCATACAGAAAAGAATACCACGTTCGGTACCAAAAGGAAAGGAAAAGAACTATAAGTATATGATATATACTGAAGAGTTGGAGAAAGAAGAAGACAGAGATATGGTTATGTTGCATTTAGTCAGAAGAAACAACAAAAGCTTTTACGACCTTGCTAAGATATATAAATCTGACAGAAATTGGTTCTATCGCAAAAACTTACCGATTTCAATGACACCGAATGAAGATGTGAAACAAATAGTTCAAGATACGTTACCTCAAACACACTATGATATTAAAGGTTGTACAATTCTTACCTTCAAAGAAGATTTGCCATTGTTAAAGGAAAAAATAACAGAGTATTTTGACAACTTCAAACAAGTAGAGTAAATTGCACTCTTTATTTTTACGCTTGACTTTTTACAATTTGAACTTTGTTCGCATAGATATGAATTCTGAAAGAAGTATGAGGGTCTTGTATGACTTTGTACTTCTCCCATAATTCATATCTGTCAAACTTACCTGCCATGGACTCTTTCATAAGTTCCATGAAATCGTCTTCGGACAATCCGGGGAAAAGTATTATGTCAGTAAGTATTCTTTTAACATCCTTACTTAAACTCTTCGCTGTCTGTACACATATTACGACTGAAATGTTAAAGTGTCTGAGCTTCTTAAGAATTCGACACATGTCTTGTTCTCTATTCTTTAACAAAGGATGAGAGGCGAAATCATCTAAGATAAGAAGACATCTATGAGGGTACGTTTTCCAATCGTAAGATTGCAATTTCTTCGAAATGTATTCTATCTCTTTCTGTTTGTTTCTGAAGTGTTTCTTCTCTAATATTCTCTGCATTTCCTCATTTGGGTCTTTAAACTTAGAATTTATATACTCATTTATAGCATTATACTTCAAAACTCTTCTTTGGTACTTCTTTATCCAATCTAACAACTCAGTATCCTTTATACATACTAACTTAGACTTCTTTATAATATCTTTGAACGAATTGACGTTTTGGTCAAATTGACCAGAAGTCGAACAAATAACAACTAACTCATAGAATGGGTTCTTCTCATCTAGTTCTTGTTGTTGTGCAGCCATTTTAAGATAAGTGAAAGTCTTACCCGACCCAGGTGGTGCAATTAGACCTGTTATACCATTCTGAGCAAATAAGAACTTGTCATGTATGGGTTTTATCTGAGCATTTTCTAACTTCCTCTTGTTCTTGTTTAAAACATTCTCAAATTTTTTGTCAATGTCAGCAAACTTTTTTTCTAACATATTTTTAGAAAAATTAAAATTTTTATCTTTTAGAAAATGTCTAGCGATTTCACTATCTATATTCGAGACAAACTTTTTGACAGCAAAACATCTGTAGACCATAAAATCTTACATAGTGTAAACAAGAAAGGTGAATTTGTTCTAAAGTTCTGTTTCTGGGAATATGACAAGAACCATAAAACATTAAGCAGAGCAGTTTTAAAATTTGTCAATGACAGACTTGTTGACAGAGATGACGCCGATTGGAAAGATGAAGTCCAACAAAAGTTCTTAGAATGCAAAGAAGACACATGCGCTGTTCTTGAAGATGAAATAGAAAACAGAATAGAAGAGCTATTAAAGGACAAAGAACTTTTACATAAATATAGTTCTGAGAAGTTTGACATAACTCCACCAGAAAAGAAGAAGAGAGAAAATAAAGAAAAGAAAGTAGAAGAAGAGAAGAAAGAACCTGAACCAGAGCCAGTTCCACCGAAGAAGAAATTTGACATGTAAAAATAAAATTTTATTTTTAGAACATTTCTGGGTCAATGTCAATATTCTCTTCCTCTTTAGGAGTAAACACTGGCTTAGACTCTAAAATCTTTTTACCCAATTTACCTTGAACTTCTACAACTTTAGACTCATAATATTCATAGTCGTCTGTCTTCTTTGGTTCATAAGGTATAACAAGTTTGTATGCTTTGCCTTCTTTAAGGTTTGAGAACCTTCTGTCAAAACTTTCTTTGACTGTTAACAAACCTTCTATGTCTAAGTCTTCAAATTTCGCACCATTTTTAGTCACAATAGCAAACTTAACTGGTTCGATGTTCCAAACTTTGCTGAATGAAGACTTTTCAAAATGGTAGAAGTAAACATTCAAATATGTGAATGGTTCTAACTTATCTTTGACTTCATTCATATACTTATTTACTGAGATGAATTTTGCCATCTTTTCTTCAGAATAAAAAAATATTTTTTTTTAAATTTACTCAGAAAAATTTTTCTTTGTATATACAGCATTCTGTACGTCTAAAAGACTTTTGACATTTGCCAAGAATGTTCGTTTAGACGCTGCCATATAACCATATTCTCGACAATATTGTTTATATTCATCATATAAAGACCTTTCATCTAAACACTCAAAGTCGCTTTCATCTATGAACAGTTCATAAACACTCTTGTTTGCTTCTAACAATGTTTGTCTCTCTTCGGTATGTGGAATTTGTCTTGGGTTGAACTTTGAAATATCTAATATCATGAAATATGAGAACAAGTGGTTGTAAAAGTCAGATGTCAAACATTCTGCTAAGTCGTCAAAATATTCTGTATCTTGCATATGAGAATCTGACGTTCTGACAACTACATATCTTCTGTCAGAACTTTCTAACTTCATCGGAACAGCATTGTTTGAAACCATAATGAAGTTTGCAACATTCTCACAAACTCTTTGGTCTTTATACTTTCTTTCAACAACTCCAACTTTGTCTGTTATAAGACTCTTCAAAGCATCTGAGTTCAAAATTTTTGTTGTATCTATACTTTGAAGTTCATTGCAAACTATAAGTTTCATATTCTCAATTGAAGAGTTAAATTTACCACAAATGTTTTCTAAGTTTGTCATATTCGGGTTCGAATAACCTTCTAAAAGTTTGCACAAGATATCTGTAAAGAAAGTATTCTTACCTGTTCCTTGTTTTCCAATTATAATGAGAGCAGTTTCATTTTTAGCACTTGGATGTTGTAAGATGTTTGCAAACCAACATAAGATATACTCATAAACCTTTTCGTTTCCATTGCATATAATTTCTTTGACATGGTCTAACCAAGCTTCTATAATATTTTCTTTCCATTCTACTTGTTCGTATTTATATCCAGTGAAGATATAGAATAGAAGTTTGGAGAAGGTGTATAAAATTTTATACCACGAACTGAAAAATCTTCAAGTTTTGACAATAAGATATCCCAAGCATCTAACATCTTCATGCCAACTTGTACGACTTTTATTTTCTTAAGTTTCTGTCTACATTCTTGTTCTGAAACTATTGTCGCTTTAGGTTTGTTAAAGACTACATCCCATTCTTTCATAACATAACATTCTGGGGCAGAGTCGACATAAATGACTAAACGTTTCAAATTCTCGACTGCTTTGTTATAGTCTCGAAATGGACACATATTTCTGAATGCTTGGAAGTCATAAAAATCTGAAACATCTATTCTGTACATTTTTATAAAAATAAAAAAAAATATTATTTTTTTATTCTTGACTTTGTTGTTCCATTTGTTGCATTTGTTGTTCTTGAGCTATTTGTTGTTGAAGTTGTTTTTGTAATATCAATACTTTCACCAGTTGCAATCTTCCGCAATCGAAACTTATCGTGCCGTCATTGACAAATACATAGGACAAAGTTTTATCAGGAACAAAGTTTGCGTCAACTAATGTCCAAGTTTATACTTCGCAAAGTGTTTGAGTTCACTAAGGTTGAAAATTCTGCAATTCGAATGAACATATAGGCAAACCAGAGAGAAAAGTATGTTTATAGCGATAAGTATCTTTTGGTCAATAAAGTTTCTGTCGCAATTCGAAATAACACTTTGAACTCTAATTTGAAAGCAATATATAAAGATTGGTGTGCTTAAATGTCAATGGAATAGACATTCCTTGTATGCACCCTTTTCCTGTTATAAGGACTGTTTGGTAGTAAAAACCAGATATAAGTTTTTTGTATATATAGCTCATATCGTTTTAATAGTAAACTCAAGTCGGACAATCCAAACATAATGAAACCTGCTCTAGTTTGCAGCACATGTTAACAACCCCGTAGCTTAAAGTATTAAATAAGTAAATCAAAACCTGTTGGTGGTATATTCTGAGTAAGTATCTTCAAAAGGAGTATTTTTTTACCCATTCACAACAATAAAGTCTCTGGTGTCAAAAGAGCAAAACAGGCTTTTAGTCGTCTATGTGAGTTTTTAGGTTAGTTTACAAATTCGACTCTTGAAGGGACCTATTGTAAGTTTGTTGTATAATTAAATTAATAAAGTACTCATGGGTTATTAAATATAGTCGTATATAGTAGTATAAACCATTGTGGTCCTTCTGCCATTAATACTTTAGGCAAATAAACTTTAATGAAATGTTGTGTCGTTCACAAAATTTATTTGTTAAATAACGTCTGGGAAATCTATATTTTAGTATCAACGTATTCACCCTCTCTTTTCATAAACGTATATCATTGATCAATTGACATGTAATATCGATGGATCAGCGCGGACAGCAAGCTAGATTAGCGGGTCTCTCATTTGGCTTTTGTATGTTTTGGATTTACATTCGTTGGCATGCCTCTAGTCAAAGTTTCACATATTCTTTCAAAACTTCATGAGGTGCAATGAATATGAGTTTCACTTTTAACAGGTTGTGTTCGACAAGTTTAACATTATACTAAAGCTTAATCAAATCTTCCTCTGAGTTTTGAAGTTTGTCTTCAGTTGTTGGTACGTTGTTTCGAATATCTGCAACAGAATTAATTCTCTGTTAACTTAGGATATGTTTGGTTGTTCTTTTTACAGGAATATTTCTTACATCTTCGTCTTCTGTATGGTTTTCCCCATTTCAACATCTCTTTCTTTGACATTGACCAATAACACTTTGACTGTTTGTTTTTTGAGTTGGTGATATTTAAACTTCACATCTGTCCACCGCCATTTAAACCTTTGAACACTTACGCTTCTATTTTCTTCGGAAATGACGATATTTACTTTAGAATAAAAAGATGAGAGTTATTCATATCTTATGAATTGAAGCAGTAACAAATTTATACTCACAAACATACAAAATTTTCTATAACAAAAATTGTATCATGACATATTGATTACTAATTCAATCAATTTGTTCGTTATAACCAAACTGGTGAAAGTTGATAGCAGCATCAATATTCGAAACTAAATTTCGACCAATAAAGCAAAAGAAGTGTGAATACTCAAATGGTAAAGCCTTCAGAATTGTTATAGTGAGAACACAAAATAACTTAATACTGGGACAAGATTTCTACGTAGGAAAGGCGTTATGAATAGGTAGAACTACAGTATGTATGCAAGAGACGGTGTCATCAGACCGTACGTGTTCGATGGTGGAAGACAGTACTAGTTCAAGAGATAGGCAGTTAACGTCCAATCTATGCTGGGCAAGCTTGTCTTTCAATCTGGGAGCCCAGCATTATCACTGCGAACAATCTCTCAAAAGAGCATCTTCCGTAAAAGTGCATTGGTTTGTAAATTCTTTGCTCTCAATTCATCCTGAGACCGTCTCTTGTCACGCAGTTAATATTGAATTTGTACAGTACAACAGTTGAAATATACCACCCATAAAGTCTCTGAGTCAGCAAATGAATGCCAAGCCAAAAGTTTGAACGGTCATCCATTTGTATATTGAGTTTTTTGACCTTCCTTATGACAAGTTTTACATTATGGCATAATAGAACTTTGCATCTCAAGGGTAATAGTGTGCTGTGAATGTTGTTTTAAAGTTTCATACGATCCTAATGTCAAGTTGTATACCTCATATCCTCAACTGTGGGAATATTCTTCTCTTGTAATATTTGCCTATCTATGTTATATTGTATTTAAATACCAGCGGTTTGTAGAAAACAAGAATAAGTCATTATAGTTCGTCATGCTATGACAAGTACAATCATAGTATCTGAGTTTCCATTGCAGTTTCTAAAGCAATATCTTTCTTCACTGCGCTCCCCTTGGATTTTTTTTTTTTTTCCAACTTCACCTGCAAAGTCTTTTGGACAGATATTGTGGTTATAGGACATACGTTGAACTGCAATATATTTGCAGCTTAAAGCATTGAAACTATCTGGGCCAACACTATAGACTGCAAGTCTTGCTTTTTATTCTTTGCATTCAAACTTTTCGCAGTAAACTTAACTGAGGATCCCAAGCATCTCCAGCAGCATTGAAAGTAATGTTTACTTCATTGTTGAAGTTTGAGAACCAAAGTCTAAGTCAACTTTGTTCTTTGCAAAATTCGGCGAAATGATGTTTTTATTTGCTGCCCTTTACGTCTGTATAATGAATGGGTCTGTGTTGGTGAATGACTAAGTTATTTTTGCTTTTGAGTAAGTTCGATAGAATTTTTTCCTGGACCAGTTTGGCAAGTATCTTAAAAACCTGAGATGAGGAAGATGACAAAGGAACTCTAAAGTTTCAATCTTTTTTACTTTAGTGGCAGCATTTCCATCTGAACCAGAAAGGTTAACATAAACTCCTGAACGTTAGGTCAAGTCTTCTAATTTTTTCAATATTTGCATATGGTCTGTTTGTTCTCTAGCTTGTGGTTGTAATGAGTTTTCTCCAAAGGCGAACCATTCATTAGTTTGCCCAGGTTACTGTTTGAACTAAGTCAGTAGTTAGAAATATATATTATTCCATGAAAACTGTCTGTGAAGCAATAGTTGGTATCCGACATAGAAAATTCCATTGCAACCTTTCCTTGTCAGACAACTTGGCAGAAGGTTTTATTTCAATGTCTTGTTCCACGTATAAGAATGAGTTGTCAATAAGAAATAATATGAAAACCTGTCGCATGCAATATCTACTGTTGTTGAAGAACCTTCACCAACTCACCTACATTTCCCATAAGAAAACAGCAGTTGTATATTCATAAGTTCCAGGAACTATTTTCTGACTTCTAATGGCATTGTCGCATTCGTTATACCATTCGGAAACCATTCGTTCATGGCATCCAAAAACTGTTGGCGTTATTTCTGAGCGGCGTAGCATTTCAATATGGGTAAAAATATAAATAGTTGGATTTATATGTCATAATAAAACCCACTCGACGAAAGCTTTACTTCTCCTGACTGAATCTTTAACTCTTCTTTTTCTTCATTGCCACTACTTCACTAGATTGAAATTACTTCTTCACTACTTTCACTTTGTTTCTACTCTTCTCTTCTTCTTTGGTGTCGCTTTTGGTAACTTGCCCTCTGCTTTAAGTTGTTGCATCTTTGCCACATGTTCACTGAGTATGTTGTAAATTTCCCATGTCCTTTTTGCCTTAGCTGCTGGTCGCCCATCTCAGGTAACCTATAATCCTAGAAAGATTTGTCATAGTTTGTATTGAGTCTTTTCGTTTATTGTTTGCATGACTCTTTCGCTAGTTTCCGGTTCAAGCTCTTCAAAACAGAGCTTTGTCCATATGGAAATAAAGCTGTTTCCAAATATATGTTTTTGTAGCCATTCTGGTTTTCTTTCCATGTTAACCATAATATCTTTGTGATGGGAAGCTTTAACCCAACGTTTCGTCTGCGTCATTTATTTCTGTAGTTGGTTTTATTTTTGTCATGGAACATGGTTTTTCAAATACTAACATTTCATTTGGTAAAGGTCGCAATTGAGTTTTCTTAAATATTCATCCCTTCTCAAATTTCATTGTCTTGCAAGTAAGTTTTTTATGACATTTTTGCAACTTTTCGTTGGCAAGGTCATGTACAATAGGTTCTCTTCCTTCTCTCTCCCTACCGTTCTCTTTCCTAACTCTTCACCAAAATATACACATCTCTATGGTCTGTGTAGTTCTTTGAGATAAATGTTTCTAGAACGTCAGGTGTTTATATTTCCCTAGCCATGTTCATTTCAAATACTGGTCCAAAATATCTGCATGTTTCATATCTTTCAAACGGCATTAAGCCGCGCTGAAAATACCAGCTATATCTGGTTCACCATTCACTTCATTGCGTCTACAAACTTCTTGGAATTGAGGTGTAAGTTAATGAAACACCCTTATCCGGATTAGGCTCTAAATGACCCCTTCATTGTAGTTCCAAAGTCGCAGAAACAAAAGTATGTTTTTTTCCAATATTGGTTAGGTTTCTGAATGAAACTTTAAAAACAATGTTTCATTTCTATATGTTTTTTGGTGAATTTAACCTTTTATTTTCAAAACCGAGTTCAGCCAACAGATTGGAACGTTATATGGTCGTAAGTAAAAAAGGAATTATTGTATTTGTGTAATTATCTTTCAGTACTTCCATTCAATGCTGAATATTTTCATCTGATGTTGGAGTCTTTTTGTATGTCGGTGACATTTTCGAATATTCTTCTAGCTATTGTCAGCCGAATTTTTTTACTTAACTCTTGGAAAGATTCCATTTCTCCGCATACTCTTGTTGAGGGTCAAGATTTTTCGGCTGTTCCAAATCTTCATCTAGTTTGTG